CGCTCAATAGCATGAATATTATTTTATAACTTCGACTGCAGTCTGGCCTCTCATTTCTCCGCTACAGGAAACCATGCTCGGCACAAGCAACCTCGTGCCTGACCCATACTTTGATGCCTTCACGAGGCCTTTCATTAACAATAAATTCGAAGACAAGACTTGTGGTCAGGGTCCGCAACTGCGAGCCATCTTTGAAGAGGACATGCTATTGCAGGACATTATTTCGGGCCTTCAGAATAATGTGAATTACGCATTCAACGCGATTAACCACTACATTGCGACGTTTACGGAAATTACTGAGTTCTTCAAGTCAAACGATGTAGTCAGCCAGGAGTCTGTCGAAAATGCTCGAAACGGTAATCTTTCAGTTGCCGTTTATTTCCTGTTTCCAGATGTCAACTTTCAATATCATTTAGACAAAATCATGGCTTTCTTTACAGCATGACAGTAGACCTAGACACCCTTGGAAAAACCAATCACTATCCTAAGCCACCAAAAGTTAAATATATAGAACGATTCTAGTAGAATATTTGTGTTTTCACCATTCGACACGATAGATAGCAGGGTGTTTTTTCGCCTATAAGCTCGGTCTTCGACATGCTATTTAAAAGAAATCCATTAAGTGTTTAAGGTATAAATGGTTACAACCTTAACGGACTTCAAATTTATGCGTTAAAGTCTCTTTTGTCTTTCTTCTAGTTGTCGCCGGAGACTTGAAGGGTGTTAAAAGGCTTCAATCAGGTGCGTAACGGAGAACCACGTGTACCATTAAATCACTCTCCCTCTCCTTTTAAACCCGTTCTTATTATTTTCGTGAACAGCCCGTGTCAAGCCCATTTTAATTCCTCTCCACTTAGACGTTGATTTCTTCCGAGAGGGTCTTGCGACGTACCATCGACAGGTATCTATGACCAATAAGATCCCCTCTTGCCGGCCTATTGGCCTCTTTATGGTCGATACAACTGCCTTCAAGAACAAGGTCATACCCTCACCACTGCGCTGCTTGGACTGCATTCATGCGATCATTCCACTGGTATCGCGCAAGGAAGTTGATCGTCTCACGCAGGAAACGCAAGACGCCGAGTACACCCTTGCCCTCCCGCTCTCTACTACCGCTGATTATGTCAGCCATCTCTCCTTCCTACGCAAAGTTCAACTCCGCGTGCGTCATTAGTCCTTGACTAAACTGTGTTACAATAAAGCCTACTTAATTATTTTAAATAGCTATATTTGCTTAAATTGAATTTCTCAATATTGTCTTCCGCTACAGATTGAACCACTAGAGCAAGAAGCGGACGTCGTGCGATCCCTCTACGAACTCATCGACACCTTTAAGGTGCCTGCACCTCCAGAGGACTTCGCTGTCTACCAGGTGGGCATCTTTTATGAGGCATTCTAATTTCATGTTTGTAGTGATTTTTGTGGTGGCTTTGAGTCTCACTTTCGAATGCACTTACCTGTTGTCTTCCAGACCCTCTTCCCTGGAATTGAGCGCGCCAAGACGGCAATAGATCGAGCGCTAGCCGAACGCGATGGAAGCATCGACAAGTTCTGCGCCTGTCTGGATAAGGACATTGGAGAACTGCTCCATGACATCCGCGAAGCAAAGCAGGCAGTTGGCGTGAGTATAAATCTTTTCTGAGAGGAGTTGTCGACGCGCAAACCACTGAATCAAGTATTGTCCTGCTCTGAAATTTGCGTTTGCGCAGTGCTTAATATCTTCTTTGATGAGGCTCAAAGTTTGTTTTTTATTATTCCGCTTCAGAATCCAATGCTTCTGGACATTGAGAAGGAGCGCGAGCCTCTCTTGAATGAATTGGCACGTGTTCGTGAAATCGTGGACGAACTTCAGACGAGGGCTCAGACTTACAGGGGCTACCAGAAGTCCTTCAAGGTCCGTCTACTCGAATTTTTTTTTGAACTTTATCTGAAGAAACTTAATAAACTTAACTACTCTCCCAGGATACCGCACTCTCATTTTCACCGCTACCATTAGGTTTCTAGCATCTAAGCAATTACTGTTTTCAAAGCGTCAGATAACTAAGTCAAGTTCCAAGGGGTAGTCTAAAATAGAAGGCATCGGAAGGGAATTTTATTGTAAGCAGGACCCCCAATTTATTGTTCCGGCCGACAAAAGTGATAGGGACTGTGGTGCCAACTGCTTAAATAGGATTGTGGATATGAACACACCTGCAATTGCTACTCTCGCCAAGACAAAAAAGAGATCAAGTTTCTTCTATATTCAGACACGCCCATTTAATATTAATAGTGGAAAATTAGCAACTCCTTTTTTTCACGAAAACCGCATTTATTCACGAAAAGATGTGAAAAATAATAAGTGACTACCGCAGATATGGCCTACGGGCGTCAACTGTACTCCTTAAGTTTTTGTGCTTGCGCAAAATGTAATCCCCACCTTTCGTTCAAAACATCTGATGTGAACCTACCAAGCGTTTGTTGTAGGCTCGGCGACATTACTGGCGGCAATGCATTTTGTTGATTGGTCAGAAACCTGACAAAGGAATTTGCGATCGAAAATGCAGCAAACAGTATATGACCTGCCTCATGAAACGTGATGACGGAAATTGAGAAGATTAATTGTCGAAAACCAAAATGCTTCACATTTTATTTGTTCACGTACTCTTTTCTAGAAAATGTCCTTCTCGCATGCAGCATGTGTTTATAAGTGATTTTATCAGTCAAAATGTTTACAACTTTGAGATAAAATCCACGTTGCCCGGTTCCTGCATGATTAGCAATATTTCGTATATTTCGGCATTTTGCTACGTGGTGCAAGTGTAGACAAGGACGGGATCGATCAGCCAATGAGAGGCCGATGAAGATAAGTGACACTCAGAGGACCTTTTCTGGCTTATTAACCGTCGTTAGGCAGTTATATCCAACTACGGGTTTGCAAAACCTGGGATTCGGACCTGGCATACTTTGTCATTGAGCGCTTTTAAGTCTAGCCCTCTAGAATTGAGCTACGGACCGCATTTCCTA